CCTACCTACCTACCTACCTACCTACCTACCTACGTTTATTTCTATCTCTATCCATCCATCCATCCATCTATCTCCATCCATGCATCCATCATCTATCTATCCATCTATCCATTATCTCTCTCTCTCTCTCTCTCTCTCTCCCTCCCTCCCTCCCTCCCTCCCTCCCTACCTACCTACCTACCCACCTCTATCATCTTATCTGTCTCATACAATCATAGATTTGGGAGGGGCTGTGGAGGTCTTCAAGTCCCGTTCAATCAGGAAGCCTTATCCTATCCTGGACAAATGTTGTCTAATCTCTTCTTAAAAGCAACCAGTGATGGAGAACCCACAACAGCTGGAGGGAAGCTGTCCCAATGGCTAATTGTTCTCGCCAACAGTAAATTCCTCCTGAGTTCTAGGTGGCTTTTCTCCTTGATTGGTTTCCATCCATTGTTTCTTGTCCTGCCTTCTGGTGCTTTGGAGAGCAAGTTAACCACCACCCCCTTCTTCTTTGTGGCAGCCCCCACCCCCACCCCAAATATTGGAAGACTGCTCTCATGTCACCCCCTGGTCCTTCTTTTCACTAGATTAGATATACCCAATTCCTGCCACTGTTCGTTGTAGTATGTTTTAGCCTCCAGCTCCTAATCATCTCTGTCGCTCTTCTCTGCCCTCTTTCCAGACTCTCCACATCTTTGTTTCAAAAAGGTTTTAAAATTCTTAAAATGGGTAATTCCCCTTTCAAGCTTGACGAGCGACAAAACAAAAGATTTCCTTTTTGCTGCTTCTTGTCGAATTGTGTTCAGCGGGGAAGCCTTGGAGCCATCCCCGGTATCTCTTGGCTGTCTCCAAACCAATTTATTTCTATTTTTCCATCCCTTTTACAGGGCAAGAACCGCCCACAGCACATCGCGAGATTTCCATGGTCCCGTTCCCCAGATCGTCCTCCCGTGCTGGGGAAGAAGGAATGGAGACTGCAAAGATTTAGCAGGGGTGAGGGGAAAAAGCTCGGCAGATACAGAACAAACCTTTTCTGAAACAGTTTGAAGATGTCGGCCATTGCGCCTTCGGAAGACATGGCCATGGTGCCCCTGGGGAAGGACACGTCCCCTGCTGCCCAGCTCACCCAAACTCACACCCAGAAGCCGAGTTCAGAGGATACCGAGGCGACTTTACCCTGGGACCGAGCCCAACATGACACAGTGGGCGAGATGCCCGGGGTTTTGGAGACGGACGCCCGGCCGAGCCCTGAAGGGAGCATGAAGGCAGCCATGGACCATCAGGCTTTCCTGAAGCCTCTGGAGGACGAGGAGTGCAGTGGGATGTCTGCCATGGCGGCCCACGCCTTCATCCCCATCGACCCCCTCTGCATCGAACGCCGCCCCAGGAGCCACAAGAAGCAGCCATGGCAGCTGGACGTGCCACTGCAGGATAGGGCACCGTACCAGGAGGAGAAGGCCGACCCTGAACAGCAGACCTTCCTCGCCCGAGACTCCTCGGCCTGTTCGCACGACCTCCCCGATCCTGCCGGGGAGCCGTCGCAGACTCATTGTTGCCGGACAAAAGGTTGCTGCAACTCGGCCAACCTTAAAGCCGTGGCTTCCATGACTACGGCCCTGATCATCTTCCCGGGCTTGGTCTACAGCGCTTACGTCTTCCTGCCCTTCGACATGCCCGTCATGGAGAGCATGAGCGCTCGGCTGGTGTACACGCTGCGCTGCGGGGTGTTTGCCACTTTCCCCATCATTTTAGGTGAGTGGGGTCTGCTTGCCATGGAGAAAGGTGCCAGGTGGGATATGGAATATGGAATAGGATAGGATGGGATAAAAAGAATACAATGGAATGGAATGGGATAGCATAGAACAGAATAGAATGAATAGGAATAGGATTAGAATAATAAATATGGGATAGGATAGGATAAAAAAGAATGGAATGGAATAGGAATAGAATAAGGAATAGGAATAGAATAACAAATAGGGAATAGAATAGAATAGGATAGGATAGAATAAAAAAGAATGGAATGTGCTATGGTATGGAACAGAACAGAGCAGAAATAAGAATAGGACTAGAAATAGAATAATAAATATGGAATAGGGTAGGATAGAATAAGAATAGAATAGGAATAGAATAGAATAGAATAATGACTTTATTGACACTTTGAATGTACCTAATTGGAAATGAAATTTCATTGCGTACAACTCATAAAACATCTGAAGGCAGGAGAAGCAACGGATGGAAACTAATCAAGGAGAGAAGCAGCCTGGAACTAAAGAGAAACTTCCTAACAGGGAAGACAATTAACCAGTGGAACAGCTTGCCACCAGAAGTTGTGGGTGCTCCATTACTGGAAGTTTTTAAGAAGAGACTGAATAGCCACTTGCTTGAAATCGTATAGGGTCTCCTGCTTGAGCAGGGGGTTGGACTAGAAGACCTCCAAGGTCCCTTCCAGCTCTTGTGATTCAATAAGGTCCCTCTTCAGTCTGTTCTGACCTTGGCTTCCTGGCAGTACAACACCCACGCTTAGTCCCAAAATTCCTTTTTTTAAATTTCAACTGCTGTGAATTATGTTCATTCATAGCCCATAATGAGCCACAAATAGTTTGCAAAGAGTCCGACAGAAGTCTGCCAAAGTCTTTCAGGATAAGTCTGATAAGCACCCACCTTTATCTCCCTTGAAACGCTGCCAAAGACCTAATTGGCAATTAGCTTTCCAAGGCCACACGGAGCAGAGTCAAAATGAAGTTTCAGAACTTAAACCGACCAGAACGAACAAAGTTGTTTCCTGCAAAGTTTCGTGTGCCTTTGTTCCTCCTTTATGCCTACGGGAGGAACCAATCATCTCCAAGCCTTACTCCCGAGTCACTCCTTTTGTCTTAACTGTTCTTGCCTTCTGGCAGCTCTGCGCATGCACACACTGGGAACAGGCTCCCCCTGTTCCTCTGCCTTGCTGATGTCTGACTCTGAAGGCAGCTGATAACTGCCTCCGACACAGAGCCCTCCTCAGAGCCTTCCCCAGACACCAGGACTGGCCCAGGTTCCTCCCCAACCTCCTCACTGTCTGAATCTGCTGCCAGCTCTGCAGGCTGCTGGCAGACTACAACAGAGCCAGCCTTTCTTGACCCCTTCCTCCTGTCCCTCTTCCCCTGCAGGGATGATGGTTTACGGGGTATCCCGCCTTTGTGCCTCCTCCCTGCAGCCTTTTGAGGAGCTGAGCCGGGAGGTGGAGATCCATCGGCATTTCGTCTCCCAGTCGGTCGACCTCTTCATTCTTTACTTCTTCAACATCGCTGTCCTTTCCACCTACCTGTCCCAGGAAGGGCTCAAGCTGATCCCGCTGCTGACGGGCCTTTTTGCCATCTCACGGTAAGAAACAGGCAGATCACCTCTCCTGTCACTTCTGGACCCTTCCTCTGGGTGGGATCCATTTGTCTGGTATAGGGTCTCCTGCTTGAGCGGCGGGTTTGTCATGTCCCCGTCGGAGCCTGAAGAGGACGACAAGACGGAGCTGATGGAGATTGAGGGGGTGGCTTCGTAGGAATGTGGGGAGGAGCAGGCTGAGGTAGCCCAGGGCTCCTCAGGATTAGGATAGCTTGTAGGCAGGGAGGAACTGGGGCAGGATGGCTGAGAGAGGGCAAGCAGTGCACACGAGGAGCGACAGAGCTCAGGCAATGAGCAAGGACCACCCCCTCCTGATCCCCGAGCACGGAGACTGGAGAGAAGGTGAGAACAGTGCAGACTGAGCAGGCTCCTTGGGAGGAGAGTGCCCCGACCCTCCTCACAAGGCACACCTGGTGAGTGAGATTTAAGGAGACACTACGGGGAGGGGCGTTTGTCGGGATCAAATGTGGAATTGGCAGAGTTGGGTGTGCCTGTGGAGACATTTGGAGTTTGCAGGACTGCTTGCTTCTTCCTGACTTCCTGACTGTGTCCGTGCGTCTTGTTCCTTACTTTGCTGGACTGGGTGCAGCCAGAGGCTGCCGGCTATGTGTGCGTGCGTGCACGTTTTGCCCTGGGACGTGTCAAGAGGGTGGGAGCATTTGGGGGAAAATCTGGAGCATTAAAGTTTGAGTTTGAACTCTCAGCTGGCTGTGTAACCTTCACAGGATCGGACTAGAAGACCTCCAAGGTCCCTTCCAACTCTTGTCCTTCTTCCATCATTTAACCTTGTTTTTCAACCATGGCTCCTTGAAGAGGGCTGGACTTCAACTCCCAGAATTCCCTAGCCCAGGGGTCGGCAAACTTACTTAAAACACTAAAAGAGCCATTTGGACCCGTTTTCCACACAAAAGAAAAAAACGGGAGCCACAAAACCTAATGGGGGTGTAAAAGCTCAATAAATTGCGTGCCGGCAGGTGTCGCACATTGGAGGTTCTGGCACATATTTTGAGCGACAGGGAGCTGCAGCAGAGGCATGGAAGAGCCACATGAGGCTCCAGAGCCGCAGGTTGCTGACCCCTGCCCTAGCTGGCCTAAGCTGTTCGAACGAGGTCCACATTTACAAAGCATGCTGGTTGGGAATTCTGGGAGTTGAAGTCCAGCCCTCTTCAAGGGGCTAGGGTTGAAAAACAAGGTTAAATAATGGATGAATAACAAGAGTGTTCAAGGGGCCAATTTTGACAGACAAATATTATTGAAATGTGTTAGTGAGACGAATCTGTCAACAGGCTCCTGGTTTTTTGTTTTAAGATGGAAAAAACAATTCTTGGGAAACCTCCATCCTGTTGACAGTACACTTGGCTTTTAATATCGTTTTCCCGAACATAAGACCTGTCATGAAAATAAGCCCTAGCACAGGGGTCAGCAAACTGTGGCTCCGGAGCCGCATGTGGCTCTTTCATCTCACTGCTGCGGCTTCCTGTCGCCAGTCGGCTCCACAGTTGATAGGGCTTTTGGTTAGGACAAGTAGAGGAAAAAGGATGCACTGCTAGGAGGAGACTCTATGGCGGGGGAACCGACTTCCTGTTGGTAAAAGGAAAAAGGACGCACTGCTAGGAGACTCTATGGTGGGGGAACCAGACTTCTGGTCAGCTTCAGAATTGAACGGGGGGCTTCCGGTTTGGATCTTTGTGGCTCTGAGTGTTTAAGGTTGCCCTAGCATGTTTTTACGCATGCACCTACTATAAGCCCTACCCCCAAAATAAGCCCTACTTAAAAACCTGCAGACAGCCTCCCACCCGTTTTGTCATGTTGCTTGCAGTGCCGCGAGGCGAAGGAGGGTAGTGGAGCTGCCCCACATGCAGGGTCCCTGTAACCAGGCCATCCATGCCCTGACACCTGCCTCGTGGCAGCAGTAGCAGCAGCCACGTGCAGCAGGAGCCCACGTGGCCGCTGGTCCACTTCTGCTTGCTCGCAGAGGCGACTGAGTGGTGTGTGTTGGGGCTGTGAGGAAGGGCATTGGGGCGTGGATGGCCTGTCAATAATGGATAACCTTTTTCCCATCGCAGGCCAAAAGCGGGGGGAGCGCAGGGGCGTGCCCACACCCATAATGCTCTGCATGTGCCCCCTCGCTTTTGCCGCACAATGAACCCATTTTCTGCCCTCCCCAGGCTCCAGAGGCTTTCTAGGAGCCTGGGGAGGAAGAAAACAGCCCCCCCCCCCCGAGGGCCTCCGGAGGGAAAAAAATGCCCCTATGGGCAAACCGGAAGTTCTGGAATGGCCCTATGACCCATAGGGCCATTTTTCGCACTCCGGAGGCTTCAGAAAGCTTCCCTGAAGCCTCTGGAGCGTGAAAAATGGCCCAACTCACAAACCAGTAGTCCATTCCTCAACTTCTGGTTTGCTCATTGGGTTGTTTTTCGCCCTCTGGAGGCTTCAGGGATGGCGAAAAACAGCCAAGTTAGTTGGCCAATGTGTTGTCGAAAATGACAGGATACACAAG